TTTTAAGCTCAAAGCAGATTTTGATCAGATGCCTCAGTACCACTGTACCTGAAAAGCCCAGGTAGGAGCAGTTTTCTGCTTGCCCCAGACTTTCCAGGCATGGGTCGGAGTGGTTTTGCCTGGGACCAGGAGAGATGGACCAGTTCCTGGTGGCTACGATGGATGAATCAATTAGCTCTACGCTACCTTCCTTTATAAACCATGTCTGTCCTCAGATGTTCCTTCCAAAAATATATTTTTTCTTTGGCATGTCAGTACCTGTAATTCCTAATAAAAAAAGTTATTTTCAACATCCCCCACCCCCATTTCATTATATATCATCTCCCAGAGAGGCAGAAAAGACAAAAGCCACCCCGATATTATTAGCCCAGAGCTGGAAAGAAGATAAAGTCCTGACCAGAGAAGAATGGCAAATCAAGCTGATGGACTATGCAGAGATGGCAAAGCTGGCTGAAAACTCAGAAAGCAAGAGGAGAAAAACTTTACAAAAAAATGGGAAAAAATTACGAGCTGTTTAGGAGACCACTGTAAGCAGATGGAAACAAGAGCAGGATTTTGATATACTTGTAGTGTGAAAATACTATGGATAATATGGTCTGATATAATAATTGGAGTACTTATGAATATGCAGATGCAGATTCTTAAAATGAGACTCCATGGAGGGAATGGGGGGGGGGGAGTCCCAAGATCCAGAGAATCTCTTTATATAAATATATTTTTTCTAGTGTGTGTTTATTTGTACGTTGTACTTGTAAAATCAATAAAAACGTTTTTTTTAAAAAAAACAAAATATATTTTTCCCCTGTGTGAATCGCTTCCCATAAAAATTTCCAAAGCAATGTATTCATAAAAACAGGTACAATTAAAAAATAAAAACCCTCTCTGAATGGTTTTGTGTCTCCCAGGATATCGGAGCTGCAAGGATTTGGTTGCAGACCATCTCCTCTCAACTAGGAGTCAGGATAAAACAGAATTCCTTGGGGCTGTGCGACGGAGGAGAATGAAATGATGTGGAATGCGGGTAAGGAAGAAATTATTTCCCCCTCTTATATTAATAGCATTTGGACTGAATCCATTGAAAAGGACTAGGATTTGATTGAGAAAGCAAAAAAGCACAGTTGAGCTGTGCTGGGCCCAGGGGTAACCCGTGAAACGCGGTCCAGGACCGGTCCAGAATCCGGAGGTTCCGTTGGGAGTCAGTCCAACAGGGCCAAGGCAGGACATGAGGCAGGAAACCAGGCTAGGTCAGGCACAGGGTAACAGGCAGGTTCCAGCAAGCAGCAATGTTGCTCCCGCAACCTGGGGCGGGGTACGACAGCCTTTTATCTCTGACGGGGTAACGGCCAGTCCTGATCCCCCGGTGACTCACCTCCCCGTTTCGCCCACAAGCGAGCACTCCTCCTGCAAGTACTCAGGTCTCTCCTTCTCTCAGACCTTAGTCTCTGCAGCTCTGGAGACGTCGGTGGGTTACTAGACCCAGGGGCCGCCTCAGCCTCCCCTGACCCAACCGGTAGTGGAGCAGCTGTAAGTGATGGCCCAGCTGAAGGCAACAAGGTCATCCTCGCATCTGGAGCAGGGCAGGCTCAGGCCCCTGACTCGGCCCAGCTGGTGCTTGTTGCAGGGGAACCTGTGCAGACTGGGACTCTTCAGGATCAGGCCCCAGACTTGGTCCAGATGATGCCTGAGGCAAAGGAATCCGGTGCGGACTGAGACTCCTTTGGTTCCGAGCCCGAGCCCATCCCAGAGCTGTGCATTGAAGGGGTTGGACTAGATGACCCTGGGGCCCCTTCCATCCTTAATTCGAGGTTTCTCAGGCCCTGATTGGTGTGCCTGGAGACTCTGCCCTATAAACAGACCTTAGACTAGGGCCTCTTGTGGGGTCTGCATAAAGAGCAAGCTTGTGGTCTGGTTCAAGATAGAAACTGGCAAGCCAGTTAGTTGCGGGGGGGGGGGAGGCTGGACTAGAAGACCCTGGGTGTCCCTTCCAACTCTACAGTCGTATGAATCTATGGGCTGTCCAGCCAAAGGAGGGCGAAAAGAGCCCTCCATCCTTACCTCACTGCTAAATCTGCTTCAGCAAACTTGGATTTGTTTAGAGCAGGCTTGGGCAACAGGTCAATCTACAGTTGATGTCAGAATCTCTGTTCAACCGAGCTGATAAGGCTCATCTTCGGAATCGCCTCCCAACGATTAATTGACGACCTGATCCTTTGATAAGGCCTCAGGCACGTCATCCCAGCAGAGCATCAAAACAGCACACGGAAGGATGAGATAGTATGAGCTACATTGCTATGCTTTATTTTCTAGCTACGCAGAGAGCAAAGAAAAACACATCCTCTCTCTATGAAAGCAGAGAGCAACTGCACAAAGGAACAAAAGAACAAAGGAAACAGGAAACCACTAATGTCCCATCCCATCTCCTTTCCTGTGAGACTGGAAAGCCTCTGGAATGTAAACAGAGTCCTGTGACTCCACGCAGCTGCTCAGTGATAAGAACAGAAACTAACAGTCGATTGAGGGGGTGTTCCAGGTCAATTGCGGTTATAAGTAAAGTGATCGTCTGTGTGGTCCTTATTGAGCCCCCCAAATAGCTCAACAGCTTAGGTCCTTTCCTCCCTAAATAAAGCTCAACAACTCCTGCCTATGACAATGGGTAGATCACAGCCAGGTTTTTTTATATACTGGGAGTAGATCACAGTCTCTCGAGAGTTGGATGTGCCTGGTTTAGAGAAAGCAATCCTCCACTTCCATGCATAAGTTGTGGAATGAAGACGCCTTGGCCGTGCATTGCAGAGACGTACAGGGCTCCCAATGAGAGCAACATCTGCTGACAGGAAGAGCCTATGAAAGCAGAGAAGTTATTTCCAACACTGGCTTCAGTTGCTGCAGATCGACCGGTGTTCGCTGTGGAAGACGGGAGAGAGGCTGGAAGAACATCAGACGTACCCAGAAGACCACTTGAGATGCCAAGGGTCCAGTGGGCTGGTTGACTGGGGTTAAGCAGGGCTTCTCAGCCCCTCACTGATGCAGTTGGAAAGACTGTTCTATCAGGGTGTTTGGGTTCCTGCAAAGCACCGGTGAAACATTGATGTGCACATACCGGTATATTGAATGATCTGGCTGCAGAATCCTCGAGCCACATAGCTGGAAAGGAGAAAGAGATCAGTAGTTCCACTCTCCTGCCCCAAAGAAACATGGCTACCACCCTCCTGTGGGGTTGGCAGTTGTTGCTTGCGGATCCCGTCTCATAAGGAGGTGAGGTCCCTTTTATAGAACCATAGAATTGCAGAGTTGGAAGGAATCTCGACAGAAATACCGCCCGCTTTGCTGCTTTAAAACGAGCCACAGAGGGGGGACGGGGGGTGGTGGATGGGAGCCATGTCTCCCCTTCCTTCCCTCCTCTGTGGCTCACTTTAAAGCAGCAAAGCGGACAGGAGCCACTTACACGTCCCTCCTCCACGCAGCATTCGCTTCAGAAGACGCACAGACATTTCCCCTTACTTTTCAGGAGGAAAAAAGTGTGTCTTATGGAGCGAAAAAGGGACGTGGGTGGCGCTGTGGGTTAAACCACAGAGCCTAGGACTTGCCGATCAGAAGGTTGGTGGTTCAAATCCCTGCGACGGGGTGAGCTCCCGTTGCTCAGTCCCTGCTCCTGCCAACCTAGCAGTTCGAAAGCACGTCAAAGTGCAAGTAGATAAATAGGTACCACTCTGGCAGGAAGGTAAACGGTGTTTCCGTGCGCTGCTCTGGTTTCGCCAGAAGCGGCTTAGTCCTGCTGGCCACATGACCCGGAAGCTGTACGCCAGCTCCCTCAGCCTGTAGAGCGAGATGAGCACTGCAACACCAGAGTCGGTCATGACTGGACCTAATGGTCAGGGGTCCCTTTACCTTTACCTATGGAGCGAAAAATATGGTAAATGGAGACGCCTCACAAAGCAGGGACGTAAGAACTGGAATCCTTCAAGGATCTGTATTGGGACTCGTGTTTTGAAAATGTTTCATAAAGGGGGCAGACTCAGAAGGGGGCAGACTCTGCTTTGCGGGAGGTTCCTAAACAGAAGTTGGATGGCCATGTGTCAGGGACACTTTGGTTGTGATTCCTGCATTGGAGGGGGTCCCTTCCAATGACTCAGGGCTAGGGGTGAGCAACACAACCACCAAGTTTGTGCACCAAATTGCTTAGCGATTAAAATCAAAATAGAACGCCCAAAAGGAGCTGCCAAACTGGATGAATGGGCTGTGATGAGGCAGATGCAATTCAGTGGGGGAAAGTGCAAAGTGATGCATATCAGGACAAAAATAACAATAGCCTTCATTTCACAGATTTGCTTCTGGGGTCTGAACTGGTGGAAATGGACCAGGACCAGGACCTGGGGGTTGCAGTGGACCACACAGGGAAGAGGCTGACCCTCTGTGCAGAGGCTGTGAAAAGGGCAAAGTCCATGTGACCATGGAAACTCATTGTTCCAAGTCGGTCTACCTGAGAGCACCATGCGCTGCAAGCAAAGGCCAGGGCAAGCGCCCGTGAACCTTGCCTCTCCTTGACAGCTCCTCCAATGGAGCAATCAAGAAAACCTGACAAGAGAGGACCTGAGGCACAGGCTGGTTTGCAGCACTTCCAAATATAGACCCGAAGGCCTGGGAAACAAGATGGTTTTAATTACCGAGGAAGCCAAAAGGGGAGCATTTTCGTTGAAAGATCCAGGCAGGCCTCCTGGATGCACATTCGCACAGTTTGGATGAGTACTCTGAGGACAAACAGCACTGATTACTGAATAACACCTATAAAATAGATATTATTCATTAACACTTTGCCATGGCAGAGGAAAAAAGAAGAAGAAGAGGGTAATTTTAACAGCACAGATGCTGCGGAAAAGCACAAACTATATTCAGAGCAGAACTCAACAACCTCCCCCACCCCCCACCCCCCCAGTGAAAGATGCAGTTTAGGATTTCCTCCCCTGACATTTTCTAATATTACATTATTTAAGTGGCATAACCAAGAGAGGGTGTTTAAATTTTATTTCAAAAGTGGCACAAATCATCCCGACAAAAGCAGTGCTGGGAGTCTGCATTTCCGTTCTGAAGAAGTGTCTCCAAATGATCCTGCGGAGATCAAAGTTACAAATTAGTCCTCAGAATCTGTTGTGCATTTCAGGGCTTCTCTTTTCGCTCGCCCTCTGTGCTCAGAAGGAGGGATTATGTAGCTTCTAGAGGAGGAATTTGAGTTTCTGGTTCCTGCCAGGATCCTTCTCTCTCTGTCTGTCTGTCTCCCCATCCCAACATGAAAACCAGTCCCTGCCCCAGGAAGATTATAGATTAATTTAGTGGAAGGTGAATTTAACTGATCCAATGCAATCAGACCGGACAGTTCTCTGGATAAATCCACAGGGTTTTTTAAAATCACTGCACCCTCCGATTCTGTGCAAACTGAGCCCCATCAGCCCCTCCACTGCCTTGTCTCAAATGCACTGCATGAGTCCACAGTGTGATGCAGCAGCAAGAAAAGCGAATGCTATTCTAGGCTGCATCAACAGAAGGAAATCTAGGGTCCAGATCAAGGGAGGTCCTGGTCCTGCTCTCTTCTGCCTTGGTCAGACCACACCTGAAATACTGTGTCCAATTCCGGGCACCACAATTTAAGAAGGATGCTGACAAGCTGGAAGGTGCACAGAGGAGGGCAGCCAAGATGATCAAGGGTTGGGAAACCAAGCCTGATGAGGAACGGTTGAAGGAGCTGGGTATGTTTAGCCTGGAAAAGAGGAGACTGAGAGGAGATATGAGAGCCATCTTCAAATATCTGAAGCACTGTCAAATGGAAGAGGGAGCAAGCTTGTTTTCTCCTGCTCTGGAGGGTAGGACTCGAACCCATGGCTTCAAGTTACAAGAAAGGAGATTCAAAAAAACATCAGGAAGAACTTTGTGACGGGAAGAGCTGTTCAACAGTAGAATGGCCTCCCTTGGGAGGTTGTGGGCTCTCCTTCCTTGGAGGTTTTTAAGCGGAGCTTGGATAGCCATCTGTCATGGATGCTTTAGCTGAGATTCTTGAATTGCAGGGGGTTGGACTAGATGACCCCCAGGATCCCTTCGGACTCTACAGTTCCATGATTCTAGAATTAAAATCCCCAAATAAATCCCCTTTGGGCATGCAGGACTGGTTGTGGGGCTTTTTCGATCCCAGCTTATGATGCAAGGAATTACAGTGGTACCTCTGGTTACATACTTAATTCGTTCATGAGGTCCGTTCTTAACCTGAAACTGTTCTTAACCTGAAGCACCACTTTAGCTTATGGGGCCTCCAGCTGCCACCGTGCCGCCGCAGTGCGATCTCTGTTCTCATCCTGAAGCAAAGTTCTTAACCCGAGGTACTATTTCTGGGTTAGTGGAGTCTGTAACCTGAAGCGTCTGTAACCCAAGGTACCACTGTATTTCATATTTTTCTCCTTCTGAATTCTGTTCCTTCCAGAAGCTGCCCCTGGTGCTCAGAAGTCAAGAGGAGCAGGAAGCCAACTCTGCGGGGATTTCCAGAGCCTCCCTTCCCTCTCTGAGCCCCAGTGAAGCTGTGCTTGCTGGCTGACGGAGGGCTGCCCTCTTGCTGCCTCCCAGCCCGCCTCTCTCCCCATCTGCTGCCAGATCACATCCACAGTTGCCTAGCAGTGAGATGACAGAGGCAGAGGCGGAGATGCGCCTCCCATCACAATCTGTTTCTCCTAGTGGCGAACAAAGGCAGGGCAGCCACACAGGAGTCGCACGGTAGAAGGAGAAGGCATGGGAACTCTGCACGTGCCCAGAGGCAGCTGCCCTGGGCCAGCACATTTGGACAGGCTCTCCAGGGTAAACAGAGAGCTCCCTCTGCTCCTCATTCATTTCAACTGCGGGGAGGGTCATGACTGGGGACATGGATGCCTCAGATACCTGCAGTTGCCCTGAGCATGAGGCAGAGCTCTTCCTCCTCCTCTCCATCACAACCGGGATGCGGAAAGGTCTTCATGCAGCGCATAGTTCTCGCTTTCCCCCTTTTTTTCCTTCTGTGATGCAACTCCTACTTGGGGACTTCCCTCGCTTTTTTCTGGCCCACGTAGGACCAGTTTGGATAGTTAGCTTTAGTGAGGACTTGACGTTTTTTCCCCCAAAAAAGTTTTTGAATTTCTGCTGAAATGAGGCTGCATTTTAAGGTTGTGTTTTAATCTTGTTTTTAAGTTGTATTTCAATCAAGTTGTTTTATATTTGGTGTTAGCCGCCCTGAGCCCGGTCTTGGCTGGGGAGGGTGGGGTATAAATAAATTATTATTATTATTATTATTATTATTATTATTATTATTATACTACAAGCTGCCTTGCGATCCTTGGATGAAGGCAAGTATATAAATGTAATGTTGTTGCTTAGTCGTTTAGTCGTGTCCGCCTCTTTGTGACCCCCTGGACCAGAGCACGCCAGGCCCTCCTGTCTTCCACTGCCTCCCGCAGTTTGGTCAAACTCATGCTGGTAGCTTCGAGAACACTGTCCCACCATCTCGTCCTCTGTCATCCCCTTCTCCTTGTGCCCTCCATCTTTCCCAACATCAGGGTCTTTTCCAGGGAGTCTTCTCTTCTCATGAGGTGGCCAAAGTCTTGGAGCCTCAGCTTCAGGATCTGTCCTTCCAGTGAGCACTCAGGGCTGATTTCCTTCAGAATGGAGAGGTTGGATCTCCTTGCAGTCCATGGGACTCTCAAGAGTCTCCTCCAGCACCAGAATTCAAAAGCATCCATTCTTCGGCGATCAGCCTTCTTGATGGTCCAGCTCTCACTTCCATACATATAGATGTAATAAATAATAATTATGATAGATTCAGGTAGGTAGCCGTGTTGGTCTGATGGAGTAGCATAAGAGCCCCAAAAGAGCCTGCTGGATCAGACCAAAGGGGGCCCATCGAGTGCAGCCTCCTCTTCTCACAGTGGCCAGCCACTGCTGGCCGCCATTGCTTCCTGTGGCAGTGAGTTCCATAGTTTAACGATGCTCTTTGTGAAAAAGTCCTTTCTTTTATCTGCCCTGAATTTTCCACCCTTCAGCTTCGCTGGATGTCTCCACTGAGTTCTAGAGTTATGAGGGGAAGAGCAGAACTTCTCACCATCACCTTTCTCGGTGCCAGGCATAATTTTATTGCCCCTTGACTCCCCTTTTCTCTGAGCTAAAAAGGCCCGAACGCCGCAAGCTTTCCTCATAGGGAGGCTCTCCACCCTCTGGGTCCTTTCGGTTGCCCTTTTCTGAAACTTTTCCAACTCCACAATCTCCTTTTTGAGGGGTGGGAGCCAGAACTGGACACAGGGCTCCAAACGCACCATAGATGTGCACAATGACATCCTGATATCGGCCGTTTTATTTTCAGTTCCTTTTGTCACAATTCTTAGTGTGGAATTTGTCCGTTCCACAGCCTCTTCGCACTGACC